AACCCCGACACTTCCAGAATTCGGTGTACGGTGGGAGGTCAGGATATAGATATACGGTAGAACTGCTCGGCTGCGCGTGGGATGCGCTTTTGCTTGTATGGTACAGTGTTGAGGTCAACATCCAAGATCGCAACAAGTTGCCAGTCCCCCGACCCCCATTTGTACACCCCCGTTGAGACTACACGCACGTATCGGTACACGACCGGAGTGTGCATACCGTACACTATATATATAGCTCGACATGCGAGCCACGTTCACGCGCGTATATCTATTCAAACTCGTATTGGCCTTCACAAATCATTTCGATACCGGTTCAGAGGGTTCTAGACTACGGCTCCATCAGCCGACACACAAGTATTCTGTATGATGTCTGTAGCGCTTGCCATTTTTTAAAAATCTTGTTCGTTATTTTTTATTTCGTTTCTTGGTATAACACTGTATCATTAATTAATATATTCTCTCTATCGGTCGTTCTTTCATTTCTTTCCATTATACCATGTAGTATTCACTCAACAGCGGCGGCAAATCTACCTCAAATTTCGTTTAAATGGCGGTAACAGCAGCGACGATACCCAAGAAAGCAATACTGACAGCGCTGAATGCTAAAGGAGCTGACGACTCTTCAATGGGCTCCACTTCAACACGCACATCAAACTCATCCGCCCCGGTTTGCAAGATACGAGCCAAATGGCGACGCCTCAAATTGTTGCTGGTAACGACCAAAGTGACAGTTCCAGCAATGTCAATGGTATCAGCATCGGCAAAGAAGGTGCTGAATGGACGGGTTCCAACAGTGGCTGCAGCAGAGTTCGCTCCAAGTACTTCAGTGTTACCAGAAAGCAAGTTGGTTGAGGCCACATTGGTCTTGCTGCCCAGGAAGGTGTCCACAGACTGAATTACAACACTGTCGTCATCCGTGTCAAGACAGATGAACAAGGTGGTTCCAAGGGCCAATGCAGGAGTGCTGATGGGGACACGGGTATCGTGACCGTCACATCTGGTAGCAGTGACTCCAAAGGTCTTTGTGTCGGTGGCAATAGTACCGCTGATTCCATCAAACTGTTCGGAGGTAATACCGGCAACGGTGAATCCACCATCAGCCGTGAAGGTAGCGCTGATCTTCTGGCCTTGGTAGAACATTTCATTCCCGCTGCCATCCTTCAAGCTGGTCAACAGGCAGAACTCAAAGGCTTCGGACGCCCCATCGGCTATGGTGAAGCCGGTGTTGAGGTCAACGGAAACTGTGCTAGCTCCAGCAACGGCAGTTGCGGTGGCAGCCGAAAGACTCATCTCGCCGTCACGAGCGGCGGTTCCTGTACAGTCGCCATAGCCGGTGATGGAGAAAGCAAGGTTTCCAGTCAGAGGTAGGATACTGGCAAAGTCGCACTGGACATTGTCGTCTGCAGTGATGGCACAAGTGGGTGCCGCGAGAGAGTAGTCTATAATTTGACCAAGTGCAGTAGGAGTTTGCAACAATGCGACGACGGTAGCCAAGAGGCCTGCAGAGAAGGTCTGAAACGATAATTGATTGAGATGGTTAGCGGTTGCACTCTGCATAAAAAAGAATGCCGTACTCTGTTTTGCTCAACGTACCGAGAGCTTCATATTGTTTGCCTTGTTTTTCGTTTGTTTTTTGTTTCAGTGAAATCTGAAATTGTGAGAAAAGCAGAAACAAAAACCAGGAGAAAATCTTTCTGTAAAATTTCACCGAACCCAAATTGACACCGATGAGTTCCACCAACACAACATCTAAGCCTTTTCTATTTGCGGGCATATTAGGGCTACTAATATTTCCGCTCGCTTCTCAAAGTCATGATGTAGATCTGTTCTGGTTGCCGAGAGAAACTACCCGAACCCAAAGTGACACCTTATGACTTATGACTGTCAGTTGGAGAAAATGCACAGAACAAAAACATTTTCCGGTGGGGAACACAATTTGAGTCTCAATAAATGAACGCAATAAGTCGTAGTATTTTAACATACGTGATCCGGTTCTCGTTGATTTTTCAGAGGCATAAATCGTCGCTCACAGATGACAGGTGGTGGTACACGTGTATGTTCGCTGGTCCCAGTAAATAAAGTGAACGACGTTCTTTCTTGGGTTGTACACAGTATGTATCCAAAAACGTCAAACCTATACTGGTATCACAGCACAGCACAGCACAGCACAGCACAGCACAGCACAATGAGGTCTATTTCGATGGCAGTTGCGGTACGTGTACGTGAAGAGGGGCTCTGAAAGCGCATTGGAAATACCGACGAAAGAAAAGAGAGTAAAGTTCTCACTTCGTACTGTTCTATGTCCTGTCTCCTCGTCGCGCTCAGGCCCTTATTCCTCCCCTACTCTCTCTCGTGGCCACCATTATCTTTTTCAAGTCCAACTCTGTCCTGGCAGAGTTTAACCTACAAAACTACATTATCAATGCACCATCATGCAGCATTTCAGAAGATCTGAATGTCCATTGCAACTTTAGCAACATTGAACCCATAAATGGAAGCATCGCTAGTTTCATTACTGGCTTTGATACTTGTCAAGGAAGTGCTACTCGCGATTCAGAATTGTCTCTTACGGCCACCAATGGTGTTGTTGCTAATGGCACCTTCAATGTTGTTATCGACATTAACACCAATCTCAACCTGACCAATGGAGAATCGGAAACTTTTACCTTTTGTCTGCTGACGCATTTGCGGGATGCAAGCGACAATCTTATGATTTGGCAAGGCCAAAAGATCAATTCTACCTTCATATTTAGAACGGATTTCTCAGTAGTATCTTCCCTCCATACACAAGTCTTTGAGGCTGGGAACGTCGTTGAGGAAGTGGATTCTGGTTCGAAGATCTCTTTCACTACAGCATGTCGCTGCAGGAGTCTTGGTCTAGCAATAGGTGTCATGATTCTAATCGACTATATTTTCTAGTTTTCTATCCATCCCATACTCATCTACAATGCAAACAAGACGATCAAGGCAGCCAACACAGCTGGTAGCATACGCGTGGCGTGCTGCCACAGATGCTTCTCGCTGCGCCTCCACTTCTACTTTGACATCGAAGCTGTTATCCTTGCCACCAACTTGCGGCTTCCGCACCCGCAACTGACGCGAAGCACCACTGTCGCCAATGTCGAGAGATACGGTTCCAGCGACCTCAAAAGAATCTGTATCCTCAACAAAGAACCTGACAAAAGGGCGAGTGCCAATCGTGCCGGCATGACGGCATCTGTACCTAGGCCAAGAACTTCTGCATTTCCATCCAGCAAGTCGGTTTGGGCAATGTTGGTCTTAACCCCATAGAAACCATTCACAGCGGAAATTACCACGTTAATGTCCCCAGTATCAATACAGATGAGCAAAGTGACACCAACGGCCACGGGTGGCGTTGTGATCTCATTGTGACTGAGATCGCAACGATAGGCCGTAAGTTCAAATATCTTCGTCTCGGAATTCACGTCAACGTTCACACCATCAAGGTTTCTACCGGTATATCCAGATCCGAGACTGTAAATTCCCCATTAAAAGTGAAGGTGGAGCTGATCTTTTGGCCTTGATTAATCATTAGAATGTTACTTGCGTCCCGCAAGTGCGTCAGCAGACAAAAGGAAAATGTTTCCGATTTTCCATGGGTCAAGTTGAAATCAGTGTCAATGTCAACTACGACACTGTAGTCGCCATTGACAGCAATGCCAGTGGCAGCCGAAAGAAACAATTCTGAATCGCGAGCTGCAATTCCTTGACAATTGTCAAACCCTGTGATGAAATGAGCAATGTATCCATCTAAGGGTTCAATGTTGCTAAAGTCGCAATGGACACTCAGATCTTCGTGTGAAATGCTGCATGCCGGTGAGGTGAGATAGGGGGAATAATGAAGCTATAAATTTTTCTTTGCAGGCCAATCTGTGTTTTGAGAGCTCCTCCTCTCCACGTAGTACCGCAATTGTCATCGATCTAGATCTCGTCACAAGTGCTAGAGTTGTGCAATGTTATGATAGGGTTGGATGCTTCCATCGACGCTGTTGTACAATAATATATAATCCGATAGGCTGATGGTCATGCGTGTAGTCCTACGAGTATATTTGAAGCTTATCATATACTCGCCATGCGATCCCATTTCGAATTGCCACCAATTAATAAAAATTGGAGCTTCGATGCCTTTTGAAGGCATCATATATATATTCCTTTTCGTTCGACTACTGTATGGAGAACATCTCAACGAGAACTCCGTGCGGTCATCGT